GACATTCTAGTTGGCAAATGTATAGTTTAATAACACTTGTCGGAAGCATTTTACAGACTTTCCGTACCTAGAAAGTTATTTTTTGTTAGGTATCCGGAAGCCATGAGTTGTTAACTCTTTGGCTCGGTACTATGAACATGGCAACCCTTCGGCCTTGATTCCATGACCGGCGTTATATCTCAAATGATTCCGTCTCTCTACGTAGAGCGGCTAGCCGCCTACCGAAAGCATCGCACAGCACACGAAACAATTTCTCCGGCGACGATCCCCAGGGATCTCCGTAAAAACTGCACTGGTGAACTTAACAGTGCAGCCGTGAAACGAACCCACAACCTCCAGTGCACGAGGTAAACGAATTGACCACTCGGCCACATAGATAGATAGATAGACAGACAGACAGACAGACAGACAGACAGACAGACAGACAGACGGACGGACGGACGGACGGACGGACGGACGGACGGACGGACGGACGGACGGACGGACGGACGGACGGACGGACGGACGGACGGACGGACGGACGGACGGACGGACGGACGGACGGACAGACAGACAGACAGACAGACAGACAGACAGACAGACAGACAGACAGACAGACAGACAGACAGACAGACAGACAGACAGACAGATAGATAGATAGATAGATAGATAGATAGATAATAGATAGATAGATAGATAGATAGATAGATAGATAGATAGATAGATAGATAGATAGATAGATAGATAGATAGATAGATAGATAGATAGATAGATAGATAGATAGATAGATAGATAGATAGATAGATAGATAGATAGATAGATAGATAGATAGATAGATAGATAGATAGATAGATAGATAGATAGATAGATTAGATAGATAGATAGATAGATAGATTAGATAGATAGATAGATAGATAGATAGATAGATAGATAGATAGATAGATAGATAGATAGATAGATAGATAGATAGATAGATAGATAGATAGATAGATAGATAGATAGATAGATAGATAGATAGATAGATAGATAGATAGATAGATAGATAGATAGATAGATAGATAGATAGATAGATAGATAGATAGATAGATAGATAGATAGATAGATAGATAGATAGATAGATAGATAGATAGATAGATATAGATAGATAGATAGATAGATAGATAGATAGATAGATAGATAGATAGATAGATAGATAGATAGATAGATAGATAGATAGATAGATAGATAGATAGATAGATAGATAGATAGATAGATAGATAGATAGATAGATAGATAGATAGATAGATAGATAGATAGATAGATAGATAGATAGATAGATAGATAGATAGATAGATAGATAGATAGATAGAAAGGTTTTGGAGGGAGATAAATACATAGACAGACAGACAGACGTGCAGACCACCAGACAGACGGTCAGACGAACGGATAAACAGTCGGACGGACGGATGGATGGACAGACTGGCAGACAGACAGACTGACATAAAAGACCTATCCTAGCATTGCCTAAAAATTACCATACAGAAACGATCCGGAATGTGCTGGCAGACGGTTAAGGTGATTCAATATTGATACAGCTAGGAGAAAGCATCCTCTAGCTTGACAGAGGCTGCGCAGGTAAGATACTTTGTTGTGTGCCTACTTGGCTATCCCAACTTCCCTACGTTTGGCCAAAGCCGCTAGTGTAAATTGTTAAATTTTACAACTTTGGCTCTGTTCACAATCTTACAAAGTAAATATAGTGCCAGGTTTGCACTGCAGCAAATAAGATAAGTTTACCGCTGTCCTATTTCTTGTGTGAAGTGTTGAAGACTGCAACAGTTAGAAATTCTGAAAAGAGACCAACTAAGGCATGTGAAATTAGTTTACTTATTTTAACAGCTTTGGAAATTGAGATTTGCCGTAGGTGACAGGAAAATGATTAGCAAACAGTCGAAACACGGTAATTTGAAACAGACGGCGCGAAGAGCCTGTTAGGATCCCTAGCAACTTATGAAGCTAGAAAACACCATTAGTATCCTATTAATCTTTTTGTTTTTATTTGTGTTCACCTGCTGTAAACTCCGACGGAAAATTCTAGTTGTTGGTCTAGTTCTGGACTCTAGTCCTGTTCCAGAATCTAAGTGTTGCGTGCACATCCGTTTTACAGATCTGTCTCACATATACGCAAACTGTTGGTTCTTTACCTCTCACACAGATGCACTCCGACATCAAAGAAAGCTCCCAATTGTGGCTAAAGTATTCATCTGTCACTTTTTATTTTTCCAGCAGCTCTGTTCAATCCTAGCCTACAAGAAACCACTGCATTTGACCTTTTTATCTCCATACATAAAATGTTATTTCACTATATTCAAATCACTGATTTTGTCTATTTTCTTATACGGATGTTAGAGTGAGTTGCGTTTTCACCTTAGGAATGGAACAGAGGTGCAAGATTTTCGAAAATAAATGCTACATAAAACTAACAAAAACGTAAGTAAAAGTAAAAAAATCCTTTTCTCATGCGTATAGGGTATATAGGGCTAGACCTATTCTGTATAGAACAAACGGCACTTGATGGGTGATGTGGTCAGCATCACGCCGTCCGTCATTGCTTTCGAGGACTGTACAACAAATATGTAGACAAAATAAACAAATCTGCAGGAGATGAGGAGCCTCGTTTGGCAGTGGTGAAATGTCGCAAGCAAGTCTCAGGTGGTGGGACACGATTTACCTGAAACTAATACGTATTATAAGACCTACAGATATAACTGTACGTTTATGTTCTTAAGTCCGCGTCTGTGGCTTAGGCATTGCGAACAAGTTTCGTAACGCCGGGGTGCCGGCTTCGATCCCAGCTGCGAGCCTTGCACCTTGCGTTAGTTTCGACAATGGATGGTATCGAGAAACCGACCGTCCAGAAAGCAATGGCAAACTACTAGAAAAACCACAACAGGCAAAAAATGATGGGGTTGGTTCTGCAATGTCCTGTGAAGGAAACGCAACTAACTTATGGTCTAAAGCTTATTCCTAAATGTTCATACAACTAGATAATTGACACAGTTTTGGGGCACCGATAACACAGCCAGGGCACACAGAAATTAAAAATGACCTTGCGAAAACGAGATGTGTGGTCGCACTAGCGATGAGTTGATGGTCATGAAGAGCAAGAAGCAAAACTTTCATCTCCCTCGCCACCGGAAGCAGTAAAACAATAAATGACGGAAAAGAAACGAAGCGTCTTTCCTTTTCAGGGTAAATTTTTATGACGATCCGC